AGGTGTGTGTGTGTGTATGTGTGTGTGTGTGTGCATGTGTGCATGTAGTGTTGTGTTAAAGACAACGAGCAAGTTTTTTGCCTTCCTGGGAGGTTAGACTGAGAAGCTGTCCCAGGGGAGCCTGGCGCCCTCTGTCATGCGGGTGGGTGCAGCCAGTGACGTGTCACTTGGGATTCTCTGGGCAACGGCAGGAGTGTCAAAGGGGCTCCTAAGGGGCCCCCGTGGGGCGGGCCGCTCGCGCTGACCGTTCAGGGGTCGGGGCCTGGGGTGGGGTGACGCCAGGGCCGTGGCTCAGCAGTGAGCCCCAGAGCTCGCTCGTCTGGCCCGAGGGTGTGCTCCTCTGGATCCGCGAGACAGCAGCGCCCTCTTGGTCTCCGCAGGTAAAGTACCACCTCCGGTTCAGTTGCACACGGAGGAACTACATGTGGACCCAGGCAGGCTCCGTCTTCCTGAAGGAGGCCGAGGGCTGGGCTACCACCTCCCTCTTCCCACTTTTCCCAAACCCAGGGCCGAGGGAGCCTACGTCCCCCGACGGCGGAGAGCCAGGTGAGGACACTCTCAGGGCCGTGCCCCAGCCCCGGCTGTTTACCAGGGACTCCTCCACCATGCAGCCCTTTGCAGAGATACCTTTCACCTCGTTTGTAGGGATGGGAAAGGGGGAGCACACGTATGAGCTGGCTTCTGAATGGCTGCCCAGACCTTGGAGAACAGCAGCAGCTCTCTCCCTGTGTCCCAGGAGAAAACGTGTCCTTTTTCTTAATTATTATTTAATGTTTCTCTTTTAGGCTTTGCCATAGGGCATGCGCACTTACTTGAGAGAGGCAGAAAGAGGGACAGTGAGGGGGCTGTGCTGCGGCCCCTTCCCTCCATGTCTCTCTTGGGATCCGGGGCACGCACACATACCAGCATGAGTTTCAAGCCTCTGGGGCTGGGACTTGAGCTGTGCTTGGCCACGTGGGATTCAGAGCCTAGCCACTATGTTGGAACACCTGCTGGTCCCAGGAGCTGTTTCTCTGAAATGGTAGAATGTGTACAGTGTGTGCACTCACAGGAGACACCCTCAGCTGGGCCTTGTCACTGCACTCCCCTCTTCCCAGCCCTCCAGCCCCTCACGACCTGGGGTGTCAATATGGTGTGCCTGACGTGTTTGAGGTCCACCCAGGGATTGGGGTCTGCAGTCAGCCACTGCCTCCCAGCACTGCAGTGCAACCTGCTATGGACCGCAACCCCCAGCTGGGCCTCTGTTTGAATTTTAAGAAGCTTCAATTTGCATGCATCTTTTGTCTTGTCTGGTCCTTCCCTGCTCTGCGTCCAGCTCGATAGGCTTCTTCTTTTTTTTTTTTTTTTTGGGGAGGGTTTTGCTATAGGGCGCGTGCGCTCGCCAGACAGACAGAGAGAGACAGAGAGACAGAGAGACAGAAAGCGAGAAATCACCCCCCAGGGGGGATGGTCACGCCACAATCCCTTCTTCTCCATTCTCCTCTCGGGATCTTGGGCACGCACGCATACGCGCCCAGCGTGAGATTTAAGCCACCGGGTCCAAGACACGAACCGCGGTCGACCGCGTGGGAGTCCAGCGACATAGCCATTACGCCAACTGCTGGTTCCCGCCCGGCTCGATAGGCTTCTTAAGCTCCGCAGCCCTTGTGTAACCGATCCGTGGTCCAATGACATCATGTAACTTACATGACGTTGGTCTTGGCTACTCTGACACCTGTCAGTGCATCTCTCAGTCTGTTCTGTGTACTTGGTGGGCGTTTGGGCGGCCTCCTCTGCAGTGTGGGTACCTCTTAGAACAAGCTAGCTGGGGCCAGAGAGTGACGCGGACCCAGGGCTGGGATCAGCTGCAGGCTTTGGGCGGATGTCCAGTATTTCACAGGCCTGGGGAGACACAGAGGTCATTAGAGGTTGCCACGAAAGACCCAGGAATGTCCCTCCATGTGCTGTGGCCCGTAGACCCGAAGCAGGCAGGCAGGGAGGCAGCATGCGCACCACCTGCATGGGGAGACATCTGTGGCCGGGGCCAGGGCTGCCACCTGGCCAGTGCTCTAGGGCAAGGTTCTAAATTTGAAAGGAAGTAAGATGAGCCAGGGAAGGTGTGGGGTGAGAGAGGCCCCAGAAGGAGGCCGCAGGTCCCAGGTCCAGGCCACGAGGGGGGCTGTGCCTAGCTGCCGCCAGCCTAGAGGAAGAGGCACTGGCTGCCCCTTAGCTCCCTCCTGTTTGGGGACAGTCCCCTGGGCATGGAAGCCGCAAAATCTCGAGGGAAGGGCTGACAGATTTCAGTATGTCCAAACTCAAAATTTGCCAAAGAAAAAGCCCAGTGATGTGGGGTATGGGGAGGCGAACCCCGAGTGGAAGTGGTGGTAGATTTAGAAAAGACATAAACACGTGAGTGGAGGGAAGCAGGGGTCGGCGGGCTGGGCGTCTCCAATGGAGAACACCGCGGCACTGCGTTCGCTTCGTTCTCATGCTGCAGGGCCGTCTGGTTCCTGCTATCAGCTGCAGCTGTGGGTTCTTAAGCCTCGTGGTTCTAAACAAGCCTCCCGTGGCCTCCTGGCTGGCAGCCAGCTTCCTTCAATCTATTCTGCCCTGCGGTGCAGATCATGTCTTTATCGCAGCCTTTGCTTGCCCTGCAGCGTCAGCGCCAAGACCGTGCGCGCTTTAGAGGTCCCCCGTTTTTGCCTAGATCTAGCCGCTCCCCACACCTGTGGGTACGTTGGGTCACATAGCCTAGGGGTGGGGTTGCTCATCAGTGGACATAAGAAAGTGAGATTGTCGTCCGTTGTCCCCCAGGGCCCAGTGTAGTCACGAAGGTCCTCAGGCAGGCAGAGGAGTCAGGAGAGCACGTTGTAGGAAGAGAGACCGCGTAGCAGGGCTCAAGGGGTGCCGCGTGGCCGATGGCAGGAGACGGCCTAGCACACGGCCTGTGGGCAGCTCTGCAGACGGCACGAGAGGGGGCTCCTCCCGGCCGTAGCAGGGAGCACGGCCCGCGCCTGATTTCAGCTCAGTGAGGCCTGGCCTGCAGACCTGACGTGATAAGTTCCTGTGGCGTTGGTCACCGTGGCACGGAAACTCAGACACTTGCCACACCTTCCCTCAGACTGCGCCCCGCGGGCACATCAACCCCATTCTGGCCTCAGCCGCCGCCGCCTCTGGCCCCCAGACTGCTGGGCAGACTCGTGGGCCCCGTGCCTCCCACCGGTGCCTCCAGTCACCTTCTCTGTCCCCACTTCCGACCCCACTCTCAGCACACGCCTTCCTTGGATTTGGGGCCTTTCATTTATTTGTTTTAGAATCCCATCAGACCGATTTGGGACCAGCCAAGTTCCTATCAGGAGTGTTTTGGTTCTGGTTTGTTTTAATTCTGTCATAAGACATAGGTACTCATCACAGAGAGAGACACAGAGAGGGAGGGAAAGTGAGAAATCACCCCCAGGGATGGCCACACTGCAGTCCCCTCTCCTCCAGTTTCCTCTTGGGATCTTTGGGCACACATGCGCACACACGCCCAGAGTGATTTTTGAGCCGCCAGGTCCAAGGCTTAACCCACACAGCTCGCTGTGCCCAGCCACCCTAACTGCCATGCCACCTGGCCAACCTCGGTATCAAGGGGTTACATCATGGTCCCTCGATGGTTTCCTTGAGTTTCTGTTAACTATGGAGTCTGGGAACCAGCAGTTAGCGTAATGGCTATGTCGCTGGACTCCCATGTAGTCGACCGCGGTTCACGTCCCGGACCCGGTGGCTTAAAACTCACGCCGGGCGCATGTGCGTGCGTGCCCAAGATCCCAAGAGGAGAGTGGAGAAGGGATTGAGGCGTGGCCATCCCCCCTGGGGGGAGATTTCTCGCTTTCTGTCTCTATGTCTCTGTCTGTCTGGCGAGCGCACACGCCCTGTAGCGACAACCTCTCTAAAAAAAAAAAAAAAACCTATGGAGTCTGAAGGGAGCGTGGCTTCTCGCTGCCGTCAGCGTGTGGTGTGTTCTCTGCAGCAGCCACAGGAGGGGCTGAGCGAAGTCCCCCTGTGCCCCTTCCTCTGGGACCTCAGGCAGCCCTCGGACTGCTCAGCACGCCCTGTAGAGCAGCATGGGGCAGGCCATGCTGAGACCTGTGGGGCCGCCCTCTGCTTCTGCACCCAGGGTATATCCGAGAAGGCTTCCTGGCTGTGCAGCATGCCGTGGACAGAGCCATCATGCACTACCACGCAAACACCTCCGCGCACCAGCTGTTCCAGAAGCTCACGGTGATGGCAAAGAGGTTCCCGTACCCACCCTTCATCTCGGACCCCTTCCTCATCGCCATCCAGTACCAGCTGCCACTGCTGCTCACGCTGAGCTTCACCTACACCTCGCTGGCCATCATCCGGGCCGTGGTGCAGGAGAAGGAGAGGAAGCTGAAGGTGGGAGAGGAGACGCTTTGGCGGGCCGCTGCAGAAGTAGTGCCGCTCTCGGGTGCCCGTGTCTGGGGGCTCTGGAGGAGGAGGGAGGCTGCCCTGTCCTTGAGAGCCGTCCCCATGCGCTGGGGCCACGAGAGCGGGGGGGATGCCCTCTGTGGGCCCAGCCCATCTCCTGGCTTCTTGAAACCAGACTGGTACATGTGAGGTTTTTGTTTTTGTTTTTGTTTTTGTTTTCTGAGAGAAATTTTTGTCATAGGGCGTGTGCACTCACCAGAGAGACAGAAAGCGAGAAATAACCCCGGGGGGAGGGGTGTCGGCCATACCACAGTCCCTTCTCGCAGGATTTTGGGTACACACACACGCATGTGCCTGGCATGAGTTTCAAACCATCAGGTCTGGGACTTGAACCACAGTCAACTATGTGAGAGTCCAGAGCCTTAATAACTACACACCTGCTGGTCCTATGTGTGGATTTTTAGAACCCTGAGAAAGCACCATCCGTATGTTACATACGATTTGCAAAGGACTGAGGGGAGCCCAGTCCAGCAGGGGTGCCTCGAGCCCCCACAGGCTTGCAGTACTGGAGTGTGCCCAGACTCCCAGGGACGGGCTGATCGGGCACACGCACGCCAGCTTGGAGACTGAGCGCAGAGGGAGACGGTGAGCGTCTTGGTGCAGCTCCTTGATTCCGCCTTGAGCGGTGGCACAGCGGCTGTGTGGGCCGGGTGGGCGCTGTCACGGGCACCCACGTCCCTGTCCCGCTCGGTTTTTTGATGTGGCTGCTCTGGAACGTGAGTCCCACGTGTGGCTCACATTCTGTTTCTGTTGGACACCGCCACTCTGGAGGTGGGGCCCTCGGGGAGGGAGTCGTTTAAAGGTACAGCTCAACGGGGAGGCAGCTGGCAGTGCGCAGGGGCGAGGACGGTGCAAGTCCAGAGGTCGCGGCTGGATCCAGCGCGGCCGCGTGAGTGGTTGCGCCTGTGAATGCATACCCAGGGCACTGCTGTCACCCCAACGTAGTCCCTCCCCTAGACGTGTTCACGGTGCCAGGACATGACATTTACAGTATCCCCAGTGGTGCTGTCTGTGGTCACTGGGGCTCCACATGCTGCAGAGGAGGCCGGGACGTTGACAGGGAGCAGCAGTCACTTAGGCCTCCTCACTGGGGCGGGGCGACGGGGAGGTGCTGGCCGTGGGCTAGGACGGTTCAGGAGAGATGGAGCACAGGCCTCTGAAGACAGGGGGACGGAGGGACAGGGCGAAGTGGCAGTGCCGTTGACTCGGGAGGGGGAGAGCTCAGCACCTCTGTGCTCATCACCACTCCCTGGAGTGGAGAGAGAGGGACGTCCACAGCCCAGCTGAGGGCTGGGAGTGTGTAAGGTGCTCACTTGGTCCCAGACCCCTCCCTGAGACCAGTGCTGTCGAGTGGAACTCCCATGACAGCCGACATGCTCATTGCGCTCAGCACTGAGCACTTGAATCAAGGAGCTGAACTTTGCATTTTAATTAAAGTAGAAGCAGGCACAGAAGGCCACTGGCCACGGTACTGGACAGTGCGGCCACAACCAGGACTCCCTGGTTGGTTCTGCTCCAAGGAGGAACTTGAGAGGGCAGGTGAGGAGGAAAGGCATGGTCAGAGCCCATCCCCTCCGGAGAGCAAAGTCCTCACCCCCAGCCCCTGCCTGTTCTGGGGTCACGTGTCACGGTGAGGAGGCAGCACGGGTGGTTGTACAGTGACAGAGGGGCTGGGCTGGGCCCTGCTGTCCTGACATGGGACCCAAGTGCCAGCTGCTGCCTGCGTGCCGCTCGGGTAGGCTCAGGCTCCGAGAAGAGCCAGGGAGTTGGGGACTGCTCTGCAGGATAAAGGGACACCCCGAGACTTGAGATGGTCGCCGGCATAGCCGACAGGTACTGGGTGCCTGGTCAGCCCAACAGGGCAGGAAACGGTGCAGCTGGGCCAAACAGCCGGGCAGGGTACAGGCAGACTCAGCTCCACTCCAGGAAGGCCGGGGCTGCGGCCACCTAGTGGAGGGCGTGGGAGAGGGACTGCCCAAATGGAGGCGCGTCAAGACTGGGGCGAGGTGGACAGGGCCAGATCGCGCTGGCCACAAAGTTGTTGAGGAAGGGACCCTTGAGGCTGCCAGGTGCAGGTCTTCGCCTTCCGGCCCAGACGGCTGTGATGTTCCTGCCCAGTCAGCCACCTGTACACATGCAGACTCACACACAGACACACACGCAGACTCACACACACAAACGTGCACATGCAGACATGTACACACAGCCCTGCACAGGAGGACACACACACGCAGCCCTGCACAGGAGGACACACACACGCAGCCCTGCACAGGAGGACACGCACACTCAGACATGTACACACAGCCTTGCACAGGAGGACACGTACAGGCAGACAGACCTGCACAGGAGGACACGCACACGCAGCCCTGCACAGGCGGACACGCACACGTGCCCTGCACAGGAGGACACGCACACGCGCCCTGCACAGGAGGACATGCACATTCAGACATGTACACACAGCCTTGCACAGGAGGACACGTACAGGCAGACAGACCTGCACAGGAGGACACGCACACGCGCCCTGCACAGGAGGACATGCACACGCAGCCCTGCACAGGCGGACACACAGAAGCCCGGGCCGTGGGCTGGCTGCGGCCGCCAGGTGAGCTGCTGGTCTCCCCCAGGAGTACATGCGCATGACGGGGCTCAGCAACTGGCTGCACTGGGCCGCCTGGTTCCTCGTCTTCTTCCTCTTCCTCCTCGTCGTGGTCTCCTTCATGACGCTGCTCTTCTGTGTCAAGGTGAGCACAGCTCGGTGGGGCTCTGGTGAGGTGAGGGGAGCCCAGATGGCCGGGGCCACGCCACCCACCAGCACCCAGCCCCCGCCCGACACCCAGGATGGGCTGGCTCCTGGGCAGGGCAGGCCGCAGTCACGGGATCAGGGCCTCCCCTCCGGCGGGCGGAGGTGCAGAGCCTGTGCCCCGGAGCAGCGTCCCTGTGATGGGGACCACAGCGCCCTCCCCGCCCGTCTGGCACCCTTCCCCCGCCGCCCCGCACGCCCCGCAGGTGAAGAAGGACGTGGCCGTGCTCTCCGGCAGCGACCCCTCCTTGGTGCTGGCCTTCCTGGCGTGTTTCGCCGTCTCCTCCATCTCCTTCAGCTTCATGGTCAGCACCTTCTTCAGCAGAGGTGAGCCGCCCTTCCCTGGGGCCAGACAGAGGTGCAGGTGGCCATCTGGCTCTCGGGAATGGCAGTTGGTTTGGGATGTGGCCAGGAAGGGGGCAGATGGCAGCTACTTAGAAATGACCCAGAGACCAAGTTAGGACAGGAGGTGCCATCAGAGACGGGCTGGTCGTGCAGCAAGCCCCCGAGGCTCGTATTCTCAAATCCCAACACCTGTGAATACCCCGAGCGGTGTCCCATGGAGCCAGGGTGGGTGTCAAGTCGCCGTGCAGAGCAGTGCCCTCTGCGTCTTCCCCACGACGAGCAGGGAGGGAGCACTGAAGAGTCAGAATGTCTTCGTCATGGGCGCAGACCACACAGGCCTGTGACCTGGGCCATCCAGTGACCAACAGGTCACCTGCCTCTGTCAGGGCATGCCCATGTGCTGCCTTTCCCAAGAGGCCTCCGTGGCTGCCTGGCACACCCTGGCCTGCATCTGGCCACGCCCCTGTGTTGGTCTGTCAAGGTCGCTTGCTGGCTTCCCTGTGCACCTGCCTCCCCACCCGATTCCAGGCCTCAGGTGGGAGGGTCTGCCGTGTGAGCAGCCGTGTCCTTGGTGTCTGGGATAGTGCCAAGCACAGAGCAGGTGCCCTGCTCCACGAGCGTCCGATGAAAACGCAGACGGGCAAGGGGGAGAGCAGACAGGTCAGGGACCGGGTGTGCGTTAGCCATGCTGGCCGTGCCACACAGAGGCAGCCAGGGAAGTCTGAGGAGGGCGCTCGGCACACCAGCATGGGTCTCTGGGATGGGGGCAGTGTGCAGCCCCAGGCAGGACCATCCCAGGGCGCTGGCACACTAAGAGGGCGGCTGCAGGCCAAGCCTGGAGTTCCCTGGCCCAGGAACTGTCCCTCTGCAGGGGCTGATGGGAGGGGGCCATCCCCGGGTGTGGCCTGGCCCCTCCTGACGGCACCAGTGCACGCACACTGCCTTTGCGTGCTCAGCACGCCCGTGTTCCCCTCCCCTGTAGCCAACATGGCGGCAGCCATCGGAGGCTCCCTCTACTTTTTCTCGTACGTCCCGTACTTCTTCCTCGCCCCTCGGTACAACTGGATGACTCTGGGCCAGAAACTCTTCTCCTGTCTTCTGTCCAATGTTGCCATGGCGATGGGCGCCCAGCTCATTGGGAAGTTCGAGGCAAAAGGTGAGGTCTCCCCTTTGCTGGTCTTGCAGATCCAAATGCTGAGAGCTCTGGCCACAGGGCTTCCGGTGAGTGCACGTGCCCTATAGCAAAAATCTCTCTTGAAAAGAACAAAACAAAACAAAACAAAACAAAAAACATTGTAAAGAGAAAGAGAAATCTAACTGCTCTACTCCTCTCTCTCTCTCTCTCTCTCTCTCTTTTGAAACAGGGTCTTTTTTTTGCTATAGGGTGTGTGCACTCACCAGGAAGACACAGAGAGACAGAAAGCGAGAAGTCACCCCCCAGGGGGATGGCCATGTCGCAATCCCTTCTCCATTCTCCTCTCGGGATCCTGGGCACGCACGCACACGCGCCACCAGGTCCGGGACTCAAACCACTCAACTACATGGGAGTCCAGCCACATAGCCATTACAGCGACTGCTGGTCCCAACACCTCTCCTTGTTTCAAAGTTCTGTAGTGAATTTTCTTTAAGCAGACAAATCTCTAGTCATTTGAAAGTGAACTCTCATGAAGGCTAGAGAAGTCTTTTGTCTTTGAGAGAAGATGAAATACCACAAACTATTACTAATGTGTGTCTGAAATAGTTCCGTCTGTTCAAAACGCGTATACTCGGCTAGCTGGTGACATGGAGGTGAAGGCAGGTAGCCCACACGCCCATCTGTACAGCCTCAGTCCTGGGCCCAGTAGCCTGAAAACTGCACCAGGCACATGTGCATGCATGCCCCAATCTCAGGGTGGGGAGCTGGAGAAGGGGTTGTGGGGTGCGGTTCCCCACGGAGCTGCACTTTCTCTCTCACTCCCTCCCTCTTTCTCTGCTGATGCACATGTCATTTGGCAAATTAAAGGGAAAAAACGTATGCATGTTGTCATGTTGTTCCACATTGGCCTTACCAAATCGTGGGTGTATACATTTGTGTGCACATGTGTATGTCTGTGTATATGTCTGTGTATACATCTGTGTATGTGTACACGTCTGTATGTGTGCCTAAATTATGTATACATCTGTGTATATGTGTGTACATCTGTGTAAATGTGTTTACATCTGTGTATATACCTCTGTGTATATGTGTATATGTATACGTCTGTGTATATGTGTATACATCTGTATATGTGTTTGTCTGTATACATCTGTGACTGTGTATACATCTGTGTATATGTCTGTGTATATGTGTATACATAGTGCATATGTGTATACGTCTGTGTAAATGTGTTTATATCTGTGTATATGTGTGTATACCTGTGTATATGTGTATATGTATACATCTGTGTATATGCGTATACCTCTGTATATGTTTATATATCTGTGTATACATCTGTGACTATGTATACGTCTGTGACTGTGTGTATACATCTGTGTATATGTACATACCTCTGTATATGTGTATGTCTGTATACATCTGTGACTATGTGTATACATCTGTGTATATGTCTATGTATATGTGTATACATCTGTGTATATGTGTATACGTCTATATGTGTGTATATATGTGTATGTCTGTGTATATATGTATACATCTGTATATGTGTATATCTGTATGTATCTGTGACTATGTGTATACATCTGTGATTATGTGTATATGTCTGTGTATATGCGTATATGTCTATATGTATGTGTATACGTCTGTGTATATGTGTATACTTCTGTGTATATATATATATATATATATCTGTGTGTACATCTGTGACTATGTGTATACATCTGTGACTATATGTATACACCTGTGATTATGTGTATACATCTGTGACTATGCGTATACATCTGTGCATATGTGTATACTTCTGTATATATGTGTATATCTGTGCATACATCTGTGACTATGTGTATACATCTGTGACTGTTTACATCTGTGTATATGTCTGTGTATATGTGTATACATCTATATATGTGTATATATCTGTGTATACATCTGTGACTGTATATGCCTGTGTATATGTCTATATGTATGTGTATATGTCTGTGTATATGTGTATACCTCTGTATATGGGTATATATCTGTGTGTACATCTGTGACTATGTGTATATGTCTGTGTATATGTGTGTACATCTATATATGTGTACACGTCTCTGTATATGTGTATACCTCTGTATAGGTATATATCTGTATATACATCTGTGACTGTACATCTGTGTGAACATCTGTACACGTCTGTGACCGTGTGTATGTCTGTGTGAATATCTGTATACGTCTGTATACGTCAGTGACCGTGTGTATGTTTGTGTGAACATCTGTATACATCTGTATACGTCTGTGACTGTGTGTATGTCTGTGACCGTGTGTACGTCTGTGACCGTGTGTGTACGTCTGTGACCGTGTGTATATCTGTGACCGTGTGTACGTCTGTGACCGCGTGTACACGTCTGTGACCGCGTGTGTACGTCTGTGACCGTGTGTACGTCTGTGACCGTGTGTGTATGTCTGTGACCGTGTGTACGTCTGTGACCGTGTGTGTACGTCTGTGACCGTGTGTAC